CAAACACATTTTTGATATAAAACATTGATATATTAGACTAATATAGGGAAGAGAATGTCTGAAAAATTTTTAATTTGCACTTTAAAGACTCTGAAGATTCTGAATAATAATACTAGAACGCTGAATAACAACTAATACTACAACTAACAGTGAATGTTTCTGAATTGTTATTGAGCACTGAATAACAATTAAAACTAGAACTAACACTAGACCTAGAATTAGAGTGTTTCAGGTACCCGAATATTTCTAGTTCTAGTGTTAGTTTTAGTTCAATACCAATAGCGTAAGACCTCGATTAATCCTGATTTGCTATAACGCGATTTGTTGAAAACCTTAAAAATGCTTAAAATATAGCTGGATTCATATTATTGCAGCATTTCATTGATTCATATACATTCGTATAAAACGATTATTCCCGAATATGTACGTAGCGCTGTGATTCCCCAGAATTTATGCTTGTTTCGTGCATTTAAGTCATTGAGGTCTTATATATAATCTAGAGTGCGTATGTGGTGGTGGTGGGGGTAATCAGAAAGTCAGACATGTTGGATGTACCGACCTGAACTTAGCTATAGTTTCAAGTCTCTATTGTACCTAGTTATAACGTCACAATTCTCATAAATATATAGTTATTTTTATTAAAATTTTATTTTTGTTGAAGGTTTTCGAATTCTTTTTGTTTCATGGCGACCTTTCTAGCTTCATTTTAGGCGTGGTGGGGACAACAGCATACGCACTCTAGATTATATATAAGATCTCAATGATTTAAGTTTTGTAAGCTGTTAAGGAATGTTCAACACTTTCACGTTCTGAGTAAAACGTAATTGGTAAATGGGTTTTCATCCATATTGGTATATTATAAGTGATAGATAGTAAAATAAACAATGTTTTACTCCAATATATTTTAACTCTACCGATTTCGGCCTAGACCATCGTCAGGAGTCTCGTTGTATAAAGTTAGGAAACACATTCAAATTTATATTCAATTGCATTCAAATTTTGACATGTATGACATGAAACAAAGATAAAATAAAACTGTCAGCAACTACTACCACATCGTCTAGTGCAGCAAAGATAACTCGACCAAGAAGCAATATTTTAGAAAACATGGAACAACTTCTTTGCATTTGAGTTGATGATAAAATCGAACGCAACATGCCTAAGTCAAAAAACCATCATGCAAAAGGCCATAAATATTTTTAATCACATTCAAGATGAAAGAGAAGATACAAGTGAAAATTTTACAGCTAGTCGAGGTTGGTTCGATAATTTTAATAAAAGAAGCAACATCCACAACATTCGAATCACCAGAGAAGCAGATACTGCTTCAATTTTTCCTGCAACCTTAAAAGCCATAATTGAAAGAGGAAATTATCCACCAGAATTGGTTTTTAACGTGGATGAAACAGAACTTTTTTGGAAGAGAATGCCAAAGCGCACATTTATATCGCGAGAAAAAAATCGAGCACTGAGTTGCAAAGCTGCAAAAGACCCGTTCATCCATCTTCTGGGTGGTAACGCCGATTTAATATTTAAAGCTCTACTTGTGTATCATACCAAAACCCCAAGGGTCAAAAGGAATTCTAAAGTCTAGTCTACCCATCGTTTGGGAATTCAATAAGAAATCTTGGATCACAAGAGACATTTTTCAAAATTGGTTCAAAACACTTGAACACTACACCGTTAATTGAGCCAATGGACCAGGAAGTTATTGCAAATTTTAAGGCACATTATCTTCGTCGTACATTTAAACAACTTATTGATAAAACAGAAGGTGAAGATAAACAATTTTGCAATTTTGGAAAAAATATAACATTCTAGATGCCATAGGCAATATCGACCTCGCATGGCAAGAATTAACTAAGAAGTGCATGAATGAAATGTGGAAGAAGATATGGCAGGAAGTATCCCTGGATTATCAACGAGATTGTTGGTCAAATTGTCAATCTAGTCGAAACAGCAGGACTAGGAGACGTAGATGAGCAAGATATTGAGGAGCTACTGCATGTTTCTGGTGAAGGCCTTACCAACGACCTTCAGGAACTGGCAGAACAAGGAATTGAAGAAGGTGAAAACAGTAGTTCTGAAGACGATGAACCAAAAGAAATTACCAGATTTTCTTAAAAAAAGTTTGGAAATGAGTAAATCCAATGCTATACTTTTTGGAAATTCCGCTATATGTAATGGTTTTCGGGAAAGTATTGATTTGCAAATTGATGGTTGTAACATTCCTTTGGTTAGTGAGGTAAAGAATTTGGGTATGATTATGGACAACAGTTTTCGCTATAAGAAGCATGTCTCCAACTGTATATCCAGGGCTTATTATCATCTGAGGATGTTGTTTCCTCATCGACACTACCTTGGTATTCATCTGAAAAAGGTGTTGTGCGAAGCCTCTGTTTTGGCTCAATTCACTTATTGTGCTGAGGTCTACCATCCGTGCATTGACGTTAGCGATGTAACACGTATTCAACGAGTGCAAAATTCGTGTCTTCGGTATATATATGGAATTAGAAAATATAACAGAATATCTTATAAACTGAAGGATGCGGGATGGCTAAATATGTATCATCGTAGGAAAGTGCAGTGTTTGTGCCTATACCATAAAATTATAAACTGCAAGGAACCACAGTATCTCTACCAACTGATAACTTTCCGAAATGATGTCCACCGAATAAATACGCGATTTCGCGGAAGACTGTCGCCACCCTTCTATCGTTTGTCTTTGTTTCAGAGATCATACATATTTCAAATAACTTCGAAATATAATGAGGTGGACGATAATTGCAAGGGGTTCTCACTACGAAGGTTTAAATTTACACAGAAATATTCTTGTTTTCTTGAACAATGTCTACATGGGGGCAAACGCTGATCTGACATGTTTTGCAATCTTGTTGTTGTATCTAGCTGTTGCTTTGTAATTTTTGGCCGAGTCATGTTTTTCTTTTTTTGTTTCTTAGGTTAGTTAGAGCAGCTGTACTAACTAGTACAAGCTGGAACTCGCCTATTTTCTTTTGTATGCTTTTTTTTGTACAATTAAGCTTATTTTCTAATAAAGGCATTTATTATTATTATTATAATCGAAATAGTAGAATGACCCAAATTTTGACAGGAGTGAAAAAGCAAAAAGAGGAGTTTTGGATGCGATCGCCTGCTTAATGAAAGAAAAAGAAACTCTAGAGTCTAGAAATCGTCTAGAGTCTAGACGATTTCTTCGCCAAAAAATCAACAATATCAGAAGAACCAGAACCTTCATCACAAATATAAGCTTTATATACAGGCTGTTTCTAAATGATGAGAAAAATTTCAAGAAGTGATTTTTCAATAAAAATCCCACCGAGTTACAGCACTCTAAAGTTAGGAGGGGGGAAATTGTTTTTATTTAATAAATCCATTATGGAGAAATTTAGAAGAATGAAATTTGGCAGATGCTAATAAAATGACACTTTTTGACCATTTTTATAACCCAAAAATGTTATTACAAGGGGCTAACAAAATCAACCCCTATAATACTTTGCATCACAACTTTTTAATGCGTCTACATTTCTCCATTTAAATAGAGGGATTTAATATGCAATTTTTTCGTCTCTTAATATTTTCTCCTAAAATTGTTAGTTTGATCACAAAAAATAAAATAATACACAGGCTCAAGTGAATTAATTCAGAGATTGGTTATTATTAGTCAAAGAAATGAAGTTATGTCAAATTGATCTCAGCATTATTTTATTTTTTGTGATCAAACTAACAATTAGTAAAATGTCAAGAGATAAGAAACTTGCAGTTTTTAGTTTTGAATAAAAGTTATATAAAAGACACATTATATAAAATGTAAATTACTAGTATTACAATTTAAAATTAAAGTAAAATTTGTTTATTTTTAGTGGCATATTCCCGTTTCTCTATTTACTATGTGTTAAAATGACCTCATAACGCTTTTTCATTTAGCGCTCCTATCTTCAGGAAATGAAGAAATCCAATCTAACGCTGAATAACAACTGAAACTAGAACTAACACAAGACCTAGAACTAGAATCATTTGGGTTTAGCTGTGAGTCTCTTAAGATGGCTAAATCCAAATGATTCTAGTTCTAGGTCTAGTCTCTTTGTTCAATAAAAATATACAACAATCTAGTGGTAAATAACAATTAAAACTAGAACTACCATCCTTGATTTATACATCATATAGACAACTTAGGGAATATCCTGAGCTTAGTGCTGTATTAAATAGATAATAATATGTCAACAATATTTTGTCTATTATATCAAGGTTTTATCATAATAAAAAAAATTACCTGGTACAACCAACTAATATCATATGACGATAAAAACCAGGTGGTTTATTTAATCTTTGATTAGGTTTGTACATCCCACAAGGGAAATACATTTGTATAAATCCACAACTTGCTGTTGTCAACATTTGAGATGCCCCTACAAAAAACATCAATTTAAATCACATCCAAAAATTGATAAAATTATTTTATTTACCTAATACTGTAGGATTTCCATTTAAATACGTTAAAATATACTTATTCAAAAATAAAGTACATCCACTAAACAAATACCAAAGTAGTAAAAAAAGAATAGCTCTTCCATTGAACAGTCCTTTACGATGACTATAAATTACTTCATGTTCCTTTCGTATACTGACTTTTTCATTATCCACGTGTCCATGGTTTATATTAGAATTGTCCATTTTAGTAGTATTTGTCCGTTTTCGAGTCATCGAATCCCTAAAAAAAGACAATAACACAACATAACCTTAACAAAGATGTATCATTCCGCGAAAATAACGATTACAACGACTTGAATAGGAATTGCTTAGGTGGGAGTTAAAAGTAAACGTGTTATTAAACGTGGCGTTGCAACAATTCGCTCTGGAAAAGTGTTTAAATGATTAAAATAGTTTAGTAAACGAATAATACCTTTAACGCTGGGACTCATGTTTGTTTTTAAATGTCAAATTTTGGGGGTTTTAGTTATCTTTATGTTGGCCATGAATTTAAATTTTTACTTACATTTCACAAATTTTTTTGCACTTTTAAATGAGATGTTTTCTTGGCAAAGTTCAACGATAAATTGCAACTTGAGAAAGTTGTTATGACGCGTTACATAGTGGGGGGAAAATTGTACTGTGGAAATAAATTGAGATTGCATACTTATCTTGATCGATTTCGAAGAAATTTTATAAATTTTGATAAAAGTAAAATTTAATTATTGCAACTTGAAATGATCAAGTGTTTTTATCCAATTATGTACAAGGAGATTATGTTTTAATCCACAAGTAAGAGTTTAATACCAAAAATCGTGATTTTTTCAGTTTAACTTGGCGATGGAGGGGATGCGCTAAGTAGTAATCTTATATCCTAATATATTCTTTCTTAGTCAGGTTAATACGCGTACATGATACATGATGTATTGCGTTTTTGACACCTTGTATATGATCATTTTTGGGTTGTATGGGTCAAATACCGAAACGCATAAGGAATATACTTCATTTCTTGTAGTACACTTCAAAGTTTTCGTTTTGGATCTTGGATGATAATTCTAAATTCGTGTGAATACGTTATTAACAATTTCTAAGTACCAGAATAGTGGGATACATCCTGATCGTTGTGGTTTTAGGCCGAAAATCAAAAATAACGTTTCTTTGGGTTCGAGTCTCAACTGTGCAACCTACTAAATGTGTCTAAACACTTGAGACAGTAGCAAATTTAGTGCAGTCGAAGACTGTGAGAAATGTACTTCGAAAAGTAAACTATCATGAAGAGTTGCCAGATAGAAGCCAATTTTTAGTGAGATAAATGCATACCTACTAGTGGTGGAACGGATATTAAAAACCTATTACTTAGTACTCCACCATTCACAGGAATTAGTATCTCTTTTAGGCGTTGGACACTGCAGATAATAATCAAGTTCAACCTCAATAAGACTTTTTTCATTTAATATAACTTTATTCATATCAGATTTGTCATTAGCAACCTCATTGTAAAAATCCCAATACAATACAGGATGTATCAGGTATTAGTAGGAAAAATTTGAAGGGTTATAGGTTCCGTTATTGTGAATTATGACACAATGTCTCATCCTTAAGATATGATAAAGTTAAGGGTTTGAAAGTTTAAGCACTGGTGTATAAAGAATTATACTTAGCAGGCTTTGCTTATGTATATAGCTTTAATTTGACACANCTTGGGCCGGATATTAAAAACCTATTACTTAGTACTCCACCATTCACAGGAATTAGTATCTCTTTTAGGCGTTGGACACTGCAGATAATAATCAAGTTCAACCTCAATAAGACTTTTTTCATTTAATATAACTTTATTCATATCAGATTTGTCATTAGCTACCTCATTGTAACAATCCCAATACAATACAGGGTGTATCAGGTATGAGTAGAAAAAATTTGAGGGTTTATAGTCCCTCCCGTTATAAAAATTATTATGACACAATGTCGTTATGTCACAAGAAAGTTAAGGGTTTGAAAGTTTAAGTACTGCTGTATAAAGCATTATACTTAGCAGGCTTTGCTTATGTATATAGCTTTAATTCATTTTTGAGATATGTTTTTATAAATTGTTTACTTTATACGAATAAATTGATCACTTCTGTTTTACCAATATCACTTTTTTTTAATAAATAAATTTACTTATTGTATTAAAAACAACAAAATTACAAAACTAGAAACTGCTTAGTATAATTTATTAACCAGTAGTACTCAAACTTGTGAACCCTTAACTTTATCATATCATATCTTAAAAAGGCCAAAGAATGGGACATTGTGGTATAAGAATTTTTTATTCAGAAAGAGGAGACCTATAACCCCTCAAATTTTATCTACTTATACCTGATACACCCTGTATATAAAATCTCTTGTTGCAGTTTCGTCTAGTTTCCTTCTTTTCGCTTATAATTCATCACATTCAATACTAACAGAACTGTCGCTGTTATCACTTTCGATTATTAATTAAAGTATCCTCTTTTTAATGCAAAAAACCGTTTTGAAAAATCACTTTCAGTTCTTGAGAAATAAATTTTTGAAATGATCGACAATTTTCGCCCATTAAGTTTTAAAAATTCGTATAAAATCCATTTCTTAGAATATGGGTATGAAATTTTCCTAAAGTGTTAATAAAAGTGTCCTCTTTCCAATGAACCAACCCGTTTTGAAAAATAACTTTTAGTTTTTGAGAAAACAATATTTGAAGTTTTGATAAAATTTTCGATGTTGCAATTTTCATCGATAACTTTCAAAATTCGCTATAAAATTAATTTCTTGAAGGATCCTTGTGGAAATATCACCAATTATTAATTAAAGTATCCTCTTTTTAATGCAAAAAACCGTTTTGAAAAATCACTTTCAGTTCTTGAGAAATAAATTTTTGAAATGATCGACAATTTTCGCCCATTAAGTTTTAAAAATTCGTATAAAATCCATTTCTTAGAATATGGGTATGAAATTTTCCTAAAATGTTAATAAAAGTGTCCTCTTTCCAATGAACCAACACGTTTTGAAAAATAACTTTTAGTTATTGAGAAACCAATATTTGAAGTTTTGATAAAATTTTCGATGTTGCAAATTTTCAAAATTTGCCATAAAATTAATTTCTTGAAAGATTCTTGTGGAAATATCACCAATTATTAATTAAAGTATCCTCTTTTTAATGCAAAAAGCCGTTTTGAAAAATCACTTTTAGTTCTAGAGAAATAAATT